GGCCGTGGCGAAGCTGTCAGCCGACACTCTAAGTAAACGCGTTAATTTTAATCGCGTTACAGAACAGCTGCCAGACGGTTCTAATAAACTGGGTCCGTACATCCATAAGGAGCCCTGGCACAAATTACCGCGGGCTGAAAAACATCTCCGTGCCTCAGACTGAAACTGCCAGCGACAGCGTCCACCCTTCGTCGGTGGTGTAAAGATTCTGGCCCTGTTTTCCAAGTCCACACTTTGTAGGATCTTTGAGCATGTGCCCTCTGCGAAGTGCAATTATCCTGCCATAATCCCATGGCGTTTACGTGAACCTTGGTGATGTAGTGTGTGTGTGTGTGTGTGAATTCCACAGCATCATCCCATCTGGGGCTTGTGTGTGTGTGTGTGTGTGCATCCCCTTCCTAATATGCCAGGGCTCCCAAACCCGACTCTGAATCACCGCTCTCTGCATAAGCAGTTATTTATGCTGGGGGGGGGGGCAGGAAAAAAAAAAACTGCTGCCTCAAGACAACCTTTTCATTTAGAATTCAGGAAGCCGATGATCAAATCGATAAAACTAAACGAATCAATCTGGACAAAATTAATTTCAGGCCTTACAAGGGTCAAACCCAATCAACGGAAATAACATTAGCATAGGCTAGTGGTCCTGAAGACCGACTCTTCCTGGCAGAATACAGTTACGGGACGTCGAAAGATGAATGGAACAGCTGCCGTGTCTTTAGGCGGGGGCTCCTTCCCCCATTCCAGGATGAAAACACCGGGAGGCGTCGTTAGGGGGAGTGTCTCACCCTCAGAGAATGATGTCCAGGGGCTGCACAAGCCGCGTGCGGGGAACTACGCAGCCATGCCGCCCGCCAAACAAGATTCATCGCCACGCCTGAGAAAACTGGTAATTACTTGCTGAAACCGTTAAGTCTGGCTAAAGAAACGAAAGATTCGATTTAGCATCGCCCAAGTTACTTTCTAACAAGTATGTAAGCAAAAACAATTAAAGGAGAGGCGCCGACCTATCCGCCGATCCGTAATAATCGAAGAGGCCGCAGTGCTGGAGGCCGGCGGACCAAATTAAGCAGCCGGCCCGTCACATTACTGTCCCCTCCCTCCCCAACAGATTTATGAGGCCGCCCCCTCGCCAGACCGTCCCCCACTCCAGTATCGTTGAAGGTGAAGTAATATGTCAGCCACTAAACTGATTAAAGTTTAATGAAAGACTTTTAATTAAAGTCTTGTTTATGCGAGGGTGGATTCGACAGCTTGGGTAGGATTGCTCTGTAAGCCGGCATTTCAAACAAAAAAAAAAAACAATTAGCAGATGTACGCTCACTGGCTAACTTATTAGGTACACCTACATAATAGGACCCCCTTTTGTCTAGAAAAACCCTTCAAGACTTGGCGTGCTGCGTGTTTGAAAAAGCCTTTCAGCACACCGCTGCTGTACCGAGCTGTTATTTCGCACTTGCGGCCTTCCTGTTATCCTTAACGAATCTGCCCATTCTCTGACCTCTCTCATTAACGAGGTGTTTTCAGCAACAGAGCTACCGCTGACTGATTCTTTTTGTTTGTTGATTTTTTTTGTAAACTCCAGACACAGTAAGGCGTGAAAATCCCAGGAGGGGGGTCCGTTTCTGAGATTCCGGAACCACCACGCCTGGCACAAACAATCACGACACATTTAGAATCGTTGAAATCGGACGCATTAGCCTTCCCAGTGCACAGCGATTGAACCGGCACACCCTGTGTGTGCATGTTGTGTGATGTTCAGTGCAGTATGCAGGTCAAGTTAATGAGCTGGTGTATCTAATAAAGTGGCCTTCTGCACATAAACAGACCCTTACTGCCACTTCTTGGCTTCCCTCCTCAGCGCACCGGAGATGCTTCCTAACAGGAAATGGATGTAGAGTTTCAGCAGTCCACCAGCAGGGGGGGCACCTCTCAGCCGACACACACCCCAGATGGGACGAAGGGATGTTCATGCTTTGGAATTCACGCACACAAACTGCATCACCAAGGTTCACGTAACCCATGGGGAAATGTTCTCTGGTGTCCCCTTTCCAAGATGCCAGAGCGCTCAGTACTGAAGGATTCTGGGTAGGGGAGACTGCAGCATGAATGCTAGATTCCTTCACACCTATAACATCATAAACAATAAATACTTTCATTCAAGCACCAGTTTCACTATTTTTTTGTAAAATATTAAATTATAACAGTATCAAAATCGATGAGTACCAGACAGAGAGCATCGGTACTCAAACTCAGTCTGCAAAAAATGGCATTTATTCATCCTTAACTGGAAGTACTAAATCAGTCACGTTCCTAAACAGGACACTAGTCTAAGTATTCTTTAATTTAGGCTGTAAGTGAACATGACACATGACAACAAAGACACAATGCTAATCCGTAAATAAGTAATGATATTACGACACTTTTAAGAGAAAGAAAGTATCATGACCTTAACAATAAATTATATAGCACGCTAAACTGTAGGTAAACTACTCAAAAGATGATACTTTATTCACCATTGCACAGCTACATAGGACTTCTTTAGTTTTCACATATTCCATCTTGCTCCCTTAAGACACATGAGTGCAAAGCTTGGGATCAGAGCACAGGATTGGCTGACTTCCAGCAGCCCTGGGGGAGTTTTTGGGGTTAAGAGGCTTGGTCAAGGGCCCAACAGCGATATGATTACCCAGCATGCAGTCGGGGACTCACCTAAACCAGGAGTCACACCGGCAATAATGCCCTAACATCCAGCAGTAACATCACTGAGGAAATCACAGATAAGGTTTAAAGGGCTGCTTCTGTGTTTAGCGGATAAAACGAACGGATGAACCAGCAACATGGTTTTTATACCGCATAAGTCTGATGATACCTTGAGAAGGTGGTGCTGATGTCAGAACCGATCATTCTGCTGGGATATTTTAGGTTTCTGTAGCCAGGTAACTTGCCTGGTTAAATCTAAACTAATTACATGGCTAATTCCAAGGGTGGTTGGCGGTGATGAATTAGCCAGGTCCTTGGGGTAAGGGATGGGTGGGGGTGGGGTTTGGGGGGGGGGTACTGAGTGCAAAAGCAGAATGGAAGATCTGAAAGTCATTTGACAGAAGGCCAAGCAGGACCTTCTGCATCATGGAGGCGAATTAACGTAACCGATCGCTAACGCCACAGACGGCCAGGCAGGCCGAGGCCTCAGACTGAGTGATACAGTTAATCAGCTTTAATACTGAATGAATACGGCCTACTTTGCAGTGTGACCTTTCAAAATGCAAGCTGAGCCTTTTATCCCAAACAACGCATGTATTTCGTTAAAACTACTATAGACCAAGAAAACAAAAAATATGTTTATATACTGCGGTATCGGTCAGGCGGTTTAGTTCGTCTTGATACAGGCAAATAGCGCTTCTGGTCTCATTCAAACTACACGCTCTTATACACGCTCTTATACACACGCTTATGTACGCTCTTATACACGCTCTTATACACGCTCTTATGTACGCTCTTATGTACGCTCTTATGTACGCGCTTATGTACGCTCTTATACACGCTCTTATACGCGCTCTTATACGCGCTCTTATACGCGCTCTTATACGCGCTCTTATACGCGCTCTTATACGC